GAGAGAGGGGGGAGCAGAAAGAGCGGGTGTGGGGAAGGAGGAAAGAAAGAGAGAAAACAAGTTGAGAGAGGAGAAAACAGTGCAGGTGGAGAAGGAGCAGAGCCGCTGTGAGCGGGAGCTGCTGGGACACATCCGTTCATCCGTTCCTCGTGCTTCCTTGCATGGACACCCCCGTGCATCACTGCCAGCTGGGCTCCCATAGGCCCCACCAAGGAGAGCAGGCATGGAGGGATGGAGGAGCGTGCCCAGCCTGCGTCCACTGGCGGGGAAGGCGAGGGGAAGTCAAGAGGTGGAGGCAGCAGTGCAAAGAGGAGAGAGGTGGCTCGCACGGTTTGAAAGACAGCGACAGAGAGAGGGGGGCTGCTGTGCATCGCCCCCCGCCCCTGCCCCAGTACCTCTTCCTCTGAGGCAATGAGGGATTTGAGAGTCTGGTCCATGGTCCGCAGCTCTTCTTCCAACTGTCTCACTCGGCTGGGGTGGAAGAGGGGCACCCCGGGGTGGGGGAGGGACAGCAGAGAACAGGGTCAAGGATGTGCTGCTGGCGGGCCAGCATCCCCCTGCCCCTAGCCTGAGCCCAAGGACCACCCTGATGGCAGACCCTGCTGCTTCCAGGGCAGGACATCCCCGTCCCCATGCAGATATCCCCATCCCCATGACTGCCAGGGATTTGGGGCAAGTGCTGCATGGGACCCCTGTGCACTCCCTGCTGGGAGCCCTGCTCACCTCTCTGCCACCTCTGCCCTCTCTTCTGAGCGCTCCAGCTCTCCCTCAAGGACGACCAGCTTGCGAGCAACCTGTTGATGGCAGCAAGAGGCACACGTTGGCCCTGTGCTTGCCCCGGCTAGGGGCACAGGGCTGTGAGGAGTCAGCCCCAGGTGCTGCAGGGGGGGTCAGGACTGGGGGAAGGGGGCACACACCTCCTCGTATTTGCGGTCAGCCTCCTCTGCTATGTGCTTCGCCTCCTTCAGCTGCATTTCCTGGAGCTCCATCTTCTCCTCATCTTTCATGGCCCTGTTTTCGATGACCTTCATGCCTCTGAGGAAAGCCCAAGCCAGAAGACATTACTGTCATGGTTCGAGGCAGCACCTGCACCTCCTGCCTGCCCACTGTATCCTAATCCTGCCATCCTCCAGCTCCATAGACATGGGACATGGCCCAGGGATGCTGGCACTTGCTGGCCACCCCACGCAGTCGGGTCACACCAGCGGTACCCCAAGGATGCTCCTGTGCACAATTACAGCAGCGGAGCTGGTCCCAGGGCCATGCTTCAGAACGAGGAGATGTGGCTACGGTGCCTCTCAACAAGGCAGTTCCTGAACCCATCATTTGTGGGGGAAAATCTGCGCAGCCCAGGATAAGCCAGCCGCAACCTCCACAGAAGCAGGTTGACAGGCCAGCAGCCTTTAGGAAATGCTAGAAAACATACTATCGCAAAGCGTTTTCTCATTCAGGGGTGATGCTCACAAGCAGGGGTTCACCAAACTCCCACTGCAGAGATTCCTGCAGACTCTTCTCCTCTCACTTGGATGCTGTTGCTCAAACTGGTCTTTGCCAATGGAGGGAAGAGCTCATGTAACTGTGAGGAATGCTGTGACATGTCCAGGCACTCCCATACAACCTGAGTGCCCTCACCTGCATGGCTTCTGTCTGGGAAACCTGCTTGCTGGGAGGATGGGGCAACACTTTGCAGGGCTGTTTTTCGAATGAGGCTGGTTTGTTGTCAAAAGCTGACCTTGGTTCCCAGGCACAGATGCGCCCTCCTGGATTGTTTTTCAGCCCTTGAGCATAGGAGGGCAGCTCTGGGGCAGAAAACAGGATGCAAACATCCTCTGGCTTTGGGTACAGCCTTATATTTACATAAACACCACATAACATTTTTCAAGATCTTATGGGTGCCCTGGAAATTTCTATGCCTTTTTAAGAATGCTTGTATTTGGGGAACTTCTCTGAGTTGTGGCTTTGGTGTTTCCCTTTGGGGTCTACAGGAAAACCAACACAAACCCCATAATGTCACTTCAGAGGGACCCCACTGCAACACGAAAGGGACTGTTTGCAATGATTTGTGATCTGATGCCACCCCTTCTGTCCCTTCCCATCTTACCTCTCACTCTCATCAGCTGCCTTCTCAGCCTCCTCCAGTTTCTGCAAAGCAGTGGCCAGGCGCTCCTGGGCTCGGTCCAACTCCTCCTCCACCAGCTGGATACGACGGTTCAGAGAAGCCACTTCAGCCTCAGCCTGGGGGAACAGAAACCCCTCAATCACCCCATGTTTCATATAGATAGATATTTTTTAAAGCGTTTTCAGTGATTACTTCTGTATTTGCTGTGCAGAACACCCCTTGGCACTGTGCAAAAAGCCAGTGCTCACTGGAATGGGATGCCTGACCATGCATCCCCTTGCTTTTCTATAGGGACAATGGGGTTTTCTCCATCCCTAGTGCCCTGTTTGATGCTGGCTTCTCCCAGCCACACAACCCCAACCTTGCACAGTCAGCCCCTCCACCACGTCCTCGCACCTCTGCCTCCCACCCCACAGAGGAACGGGGCACGTTCACTGGGGTAGGGCGACCGTAGCAGCCATGCTGTCACAGGGATGGTATTTGGGGTTTGCAGAGCAGTGAGTAAAGGGGGAGGAATGCCCTGTGTGGCTTCACTCCCGAAAAGGAGATCGGAGCTGCTTCTGGATTTCCTGTTTACGGAGGCAGTAGAGCAAACCGGGAGCCTCTCCTGCGGGAGCCCCCCCCAGCCCTGCACAACAGGGCCGCCCGAAGCCAAGCGCAGCACAAACACCCCCCCCCCCAGCGCACGAACCGCCA